CACACACACACACACTATCAAGCTCCTTCCTCTTATAGGCTATTAATCCCTAGGGCTGAGATTTTTCTATTTCCAAAGTTTTGGTGCAACAGGGTTCATCTGTTTGTTAGGCTGTTCCCCTAATTCTGTTTATACTTGATGATTTTTTTTTTATGTACCAGACTTGGCCTCACAATCTTGCTTAGCTTTTTTGCTTAAGGTTGTCACTCTACCACTTGAGCCACCCAGGAAGCCTGAATGGGGTGGATTGATTAATTCGTTTTTGGTGCTAGCACTGGCTGGGGCTTGAACTCAGGGCCTGAGCTTTTTTTTTTTTGCCCAAGGTTAGTGCTTTACCACTTGAGCCACAGCTCCACTTCTGCCTTTTTGGTGGTTCATTGGAAATAAGATTCTTCTGGTCTTTCTTGGCCTGGTTTGGTTTTGAATCATGATTCTCAGATCTCAGGTTTCCAAGTAGCTGTGATTATAGACGTGAACCACTACACCTGTCCTGAGTAGGATTTAAATCCTGTTCTGTTTGGCCTCTGGCCCAAAGTCAGTGATGGATAATATGAGCTCTGTTCTTGGGACCAGAAGTGGCCCTCTTGCAGTCATCTGCAGTTGTCCCTCCCAATGATTTCACAGCTTCAACATCCCTCGTGCGAAGAGAGAGCTGGCCCAGCTGAACAAATGCACCTCCCCACAGCAGAAGCTGCTCTGCCTGAGGAAGGTGATACAGCTCATCACCCAGTCTCCCAGCCACAGAGGTGCATGCCTGGGGAAGGGGCCGGCATGGGTGGGGAGGGGGAGCGCCCACACCCCTACCTGATGGCATGCTGTCCTAAGCGTCTTGGAGGGCTAGACTAGGCTCAATCTGTGGAAATACAGACCAAGAAGCAGCAGTGTTCACCTGTTTGCTTGAAAAACAATTTTGGTTGTGTGTGTGCCAAACCTGAATTTGAAACTCAGGGCCTCACAGTCTTGCTTAGCTAGTTTACTTAAGGCTGGTAGGCTGCCACTTGAGCCAAACCTCCAATTCCAGTTTTTTGACTGTTTGAATGGAGATAAGAGTCTCATGGATTTTCCTGCCCAGGCTGGTTTTGAACCATAATCCTCACATATCAGCCTCTTGATTATAGGTCTGAGCCAACAATACCTAGCAGTGCTATGTGTTTTGTGTGTGTGTATATGTGTGCGCATGTGTGTGCCAGGCCTAAGACTTGAACTCAGGGCCTGTCACTAACCTTAAGCTGCTGCTTCTTTGTTAGTTTGTGGGTTTTTGTTTTTGTTTTTGTTTTTTTTTTGCTCAAGGCTAGTGAGTCCCCTACTGCTTGAGCTGCACCTCCACTTCTGGCTGTTTGGCTGTTTTAGTGAAGACAAGAGTCTCACAGACTTTCTTGCCCAAGCTGGCTGTGACTGGGATCCTCAGATCTCAGCTTTTTGAAGAGTTAGGATTAAAAGTGTGAGCTGCCAAGCCCAGCTAGTGCTGTGTATTTTATCCCTTTGAATCTGACAGGTGATTTAGACGCCTGAAAGGAAACTGTGATGAAATCCCTCCCGATGTCCAAGCTCTCTGGAGCCTGGTTTTGTGGCCACTCATAAACATTCTCCTGTTTCAGGCACATGCTGGCTTTGAACTGTGTTTTCTCCCCTTGTAGTTAACTTGGAGACCATGTGTGCCGATGATCTTCTATCAGTCCTGTTGTATTTGCTTGTGAAGACAGAAATCCCTAATTGGTAACTCTTTTCTTTTTTGTTGCAATATTTTGTGTGTGTGTGCATGTGCATGTGCCAGTCCTGGGGCTTGAACTCAGGGTCTGGGTTCTGTCCCTGACCTGCTCTTTGCTCATAACTAGTGCTCTATCACTTGAGCCATAAACAGCTTCACTTCTGGCTTTTTGGTGGTTCATGGTGGTTCCCGCCCAGGATGGATTTGAACTATGATCTTCTAGATCTTAGCTTCCTGAGTGGCTAGAATCCCAGATGCAAGCCACAGACCCTAGCTGCAGCATGTTTTAAGGCAGTAAAACTGTTTGCTTGTTTTTGTCAGGATGGCAAATTTGAGTTATATGAAAAGCTTCCGATTCTGCAGCTCAGCAAAAGATGAATTGGGATACTGCCTGACCTCCATCGAGGCTGCAATCCAGTATATCCGCCAAGGGAGCCTGTCTGCAAAGCCCCCTGTAAGCTCTCCCTCCGACCCCACCTGTGCTTTGGGGGTGTCCTAGCATCATTAGTGGGGCTCTGGGGTTGGCTATAGGTAAGAGCATTCTTACATTCATACGACATTCATACATCATTCCCTTCCTTTGCCCCAAGAAAGAGATCTCAGAACCTGGGTACTGTCCCTGAGCTTTTTCACTCAAGGCTGGTACGCTACAACTTGAGCCACAGCTGCACTTCTGTTTGCCGGCTCATTGAAGATAAGAGTCCCACAGAAGCCCGGTGCTGGTGGCTCATACCTGTAATCCTTGCTACTCAGGAGGCTGAGATCTGAGGATCACGGTTCAAAGCCAGCCCAGGCAGGAAAGTCCATGAGACAGGAAAAACGGAATTGCCTCTGTGGCTTAAGTGGTAGCATGCTTACCTTGAGCTGAAGATCTCAGCCTCCTGAGTAACTAGGATGACAGGTGTGAGCCACCAGTGCCCAGCCAGGAATTTGAAGTGTCTTCCTAGACTTTGGTCTCTATTTGATACCTGATTTTGTAATTTTAATTTGTTGTCAGTTGTGGGGCTTGAACTCAGGGCCTGGGTACTGTCCCTTAGCGTTTTCCATTCAAGGCTGGCGTTCTACCACATGAGCCACAGTTCCACCTCTGGTGCCTGATCTTTTCACAAGTCTTTTCCATGTCCTCCCACTGATCACTGGGGTGCAGAATCCAGCCTATCAGATGGCTTCCTGACTATAGCAGAACCCCTGGTTGGCACAACATAGGGAGGGTCGTGTAGGCACTAGCGTAGACCAGGACAGAGGTGTGCAGAGTCCAGATGTCCATCTGGAGGCTGATGGCGTGGGGATGGGACATTCCACATTTGGAAGTGACACATTCCACACCCATGAAGCCACTGCCCTGAGATTGATTGGTCCCTGGAGGCAGCAGCTCTCTATGGCCCCACCCCCAACCACCCAAGGAGAATCTGCTGTGTTCCCTCAGTGTGCGGACCAAGGATGGTGAGAGGGCCCTTCTGGTCCTGTCCTGCCCTGCCCTGAGCTACATGACTGGGGTTCTACCTGGGCCTGGACAGCGGTACTGATAGCTCAGTTGGTCTGTGATCACAAGTTGTTTGTGTTTCCTGTAGGAGTCTGAAGGATTGGGAGACAGACTGTTCCTTAAGCAGAAAATGAACTTCCTGTCACAGATGGCTTCCACTCCTACTGACTGCCTGTTTAAGGTAAGGTCCCGGGGCTTTTTCATGGGCAAATGGCCCAGCTTTCAGTGTCCAAAAAAAAAACAGGCACTAGTGTCTCATGCCTGTATCCAAACTACCAAGGAGTCTGAGACCTGAGGATCTTGGTTCCAAGCCAGCTCGGGCGGGAAAATCCATGTAATGCTTATCTCCAGTGAACCAGCAAAAAAGCTGGAAGTGGAACCTTGAGCAAAACTCAGGGACAGCTCTCAGATCCTGAATTCAAGCCCCAGAACTGGCACACATTAAAAAAAAAATCCAGAAAGTGAAGCTAAAAATCTGGGAAGTGTAGCCGGGCGCCAGTGGCTCACACCTGTAATCCTAGCTACTCAGGAGACTGAGATCTGAGGATTGCGGTTCAAAGCCAGCCCGGGCAGGAAAGTCCATGAGACTCTTATCTCTAATAAACCACTAGAAAACCGGAAATGCAGTGTGACTCAAGTGGTAGAGCGCTTGCCTTGAGCTGAAGAGCTGAGGGATAGCGCCCACGCCCAGAGTTCAAGCCCCACGACTGACCAAAAAACCCTGCAAAGTGGAGCTATGGCTCACATGGTAGAGCACCAGCCTTAAGTGGAAAAATGAAGGGATGGCACCCAGGCCCCACTGCCAGTGTGTGCAAGGTGCACATGCACACAAAGTCTGCAAATGGTTGGTGGTTTTGGAGAAGAATGACAGCATTTGGGATGTGGCTTTTCAGCACATTGCATCCGGTAACCAGAAGGAAGTGGAAAAGCTTCTGAGCCAACAGGACTGTGACAGGGATGTCATACAGAAAATGTGCCACCCGCTGTGTTTCTGTGATGACTGCGAGAAACTTGTGTCTGGGTAAGAGGGTGCTGGGAGCTGGGCACCGTGCCCCATGCCTGTAATCCCAGCTACTCAAGGAGCCTGAGATCTGTGCATCCAAGCTTGGGCAGGAATGTCCAGGAGACATCTTTCTAATTAACATCCAAAAAACCAGAAGTGGAGCTGTGGTTCAAGTGGTAGAGCTCCAGCCTTGAGCAGAAAAAGTTCAGTACACCACTCAGGCCCTGCGTTCAAGCCCCCGGACTGACACCAAAAAGAACAGAGGAGAAAGAGATCACACATGGGGGTTTGGTGGAACTTGCCATTGGTGTTCCATGCCCTGGGGATGGAGGCTTTATTCTTTATTCTTACCGCCTCTTGCCTGCCTCCACCAGCACCTGCAATCGGCTGTGTCTGTCTGTTCAGGGAATCAGGCTGCTGTAGGGCTTGCCCAGCCTGGGGAAACCGGCTTCAGGATGGGAGGTTTCAAGGTTCTCCCCATCACGCATGTGGCATCGAATGTTTGGTTCATGTGATGGTCCCAGACCCCAGCTAGTCTGGCATGGCCGAGGGAGAGCCTCTCCCTATCTCCCCTAGGGTTCATTGCTGTGTCTTCTGTCTCTGATTACAGCAGGATGAATGATCCCTCAGTTGTCACTCCATTCTCCAGAGATGACAGTGGCTACACGCCTCTCCACATGGCTGCTCTGTGCGGTAGGTGGCCGTGGCTGGTTCCCGTGGGTTCTGGAACCCTGGGACCCCAGGGAAGCCCAGCTGACGGCGATGCAGCAGGTGCTGTGTCCTGGGTCCACTCGTTGGGCCGGGAAAGGGCAAGGCCCCAGGCCTTGCTGGCTACTGCACCTCCTCCTGGCCCGGAGGACTCTGTGCATGGTTCTCCCTACGTGGAGCCTGCACCTCATGAGCCGGAGTCTCAGCTCATTGAGAATGATAAGTTGGTTGTTGCAGCTCTCTTTTAGAAAATCTTTTGGAGTCAGGGGCCATAATGGTGTTTACTTGTAATCCCAGCTATTTGGGATCCTGAGGCAGGAAGGAGACAAGTTCAAGGTCAGCTTGGGCAGCGTAGCAAAAGTGCATCAATAAATGAATTTTTTAGTTGTGTGTGTGTGTGTGTGTGTCTGTGTCTGTGTGTATACATGTTGATCCTGGGGTTTGAACTCAGGGCCTGGGTGCTGTCCCTGAGCTTTTGTGCTCAAGGCTGGCACTCTACCATTTGTGCTCCATTTCTGGCTCTTTGCTGATTAATTGGAGATAAGAGTCTCATGGACTTTCTTGATCCTGGCTGCCTTAGAACCACGATCCTCAGGTCTCAGGATGACAGGCATGAGCCACCAGTGCCCAGCTAGACTTTTAAGGGAGAAAAGTGCAAGGTTGGGATGTAGCACAGCGGCAGGCCCCTTACCCAGCGCGTGTGATGAACAGAACAAAACACCCCATCACTGCCTGCGTGGCAGGGGTTTCAAGTGTGAACCACTGGCGCCTTTCTTGGCTCTGGCTCTTACCTAGCAGTTGTCATGCCTGGCCCAAGAGGGGGAGCATGTGTGTGGGTTTGTTTTCTCCGGGCAGCCCCTCTCTTCCCTTCCCCAGCCTGATGTCCCTCTGTTATACAGGACAGGCGTCACTCGTTGACCTGCTGGTGTCCAAGGGTGCGGCAGTGAATGCCACAGACTACCATGGTGCTACCCCGCTGCACCTGGCATGTCAGAAGGGCTATCAAAGCGTGACGGTGAGTGGCAGGGCGGCACGGTGCCCACAGGAGCTCAGATCTGCAAGGCGACATGATGGTCCGGCGGTATATCCTGTGCTGCCTGCTCCCAGAGCCACACTTCTCTGAGCCACACAGGCCTTGTCCTCTCAGGGCAGTGGGGAGCCTGCCTGGCCTCGCTGGACCACAGTCCTGGGTTGACTGGGGAAATGTCTGATCATCTGGCAGAGGGAAGGGCAGGGCTCTAGATGCTTGCCTTCCATGTCTCCAAACTCTGGTGGAAGCGTGAGAGGGGGCATAATTTTAATAATAGCACAGGCTGAGCAATGCCATCTGCCAAACACTTGGGGGGGCGGAGGATGTTTTGGATTTCAGATCCTTAGGAAATTTTGGAATTTACATGTGCATAATGGTTTCTGTTGGGGATAGGATCCAATTCCAAACCCAAAATTCACTTATGTTTCTGATACATAGAAGGTAACTTTATATAATACTAATAATAGTAATAAAATATATATAGTGGGTATCATATAGTAATATAAAAATATATAATAGAGAAATGTTTTATAGGTTAACATAATACATAATGTATAAGTGTACAACATATGTTATAATACACTTATATGTAGTGTATAATACAATAGTGCTATATTAATAATTATATAAATATATAAATATAATGTGTTCATATATAAATTTATAAATACATTTTAATATACTACATAAACATATCACTGTTATATAATTGTTACATGCATATGTAACATAATATATAAAATAATATAATAATTATTAGGTTTTCCTGTAATGGGGGTTGAGCTCCGGGGTCAGGGCTTGTGCCCTTTGCTGGGGTTCAGCTGATGTCTTTTGTCCCCCAAAGCTCCTGTTGCTTCACTACAAGGCCAGTACCGACATCCAGGACAACAACGGCCACACCCCACTCCACCTGGCCTGCACCCACGGCCATGAGGACGTACGTCATTTCCTATCTACTGTCACTCAGCATTTCCTTTGAGAAATGCCAGTCATGGGGCTTGAACTCGGGGCCTGGACACTGTCCCTTGGATTTTTCACTCAAGTCTTGTGCTCTACCACTTGAGCCACACCTCCACTGCAGGTGGATCTCAGGCTCCCGAGCACCTGTGGTTGCAGGTGTGCGCCACCTTGCACCCAGCCATTTTGTCCCATTGCTTTGCAGTGTGTGAAGGCGCTGGTATACTACGACGCGCAGTTGTGCCGGCTGGACATCAGCAATGAGAAAGGAGACACACCTCTCCACATAGCTGCGCGCTGGGGTTACCAAGGCATCATCGAGACGCTCCTGCAGAACGGGGCTCCCACGGATGTCCAGAACAGAATGAAAGAAACACCACTGCAGTGTGCATTAAACGCAAAGGTAGCCCGCCATGGAACAACTAAAAACAGCCAAAAAATAACCCAGGGTCAGGGTGATAGAGCGGCCTCACTGGGCACACAGCCATAGGGCCAAACAAACAAAAATGAGACATGGCCTGCCTTCTCTCTGCTTCATTTAGGGCCTCACTATTCCTGGGTTTTACTTAATGGCTTTCAATATGACTAGCTTTATTTTATTTTATTTATTTGTCAGTCGTGGGGTCTGAACTCTGCTGTCCCTTAGCTTTTTAGCTCAAGGCTAGCGCTCAACCACTTGAGCCACAACACCATTTCTGGCTTTTTTTCTGCTTATGTGGTGCTGAGGAATCAAACCGAGGGCCTCATGCATGCAAGGCAAGCATTCTACTGCTGAGCCACCTTCCCAGCCCCTAGCTTTATTTTATTTTATTTTATTTTGGGTCCAGTCATGGGGCCTGAACTCTGGGCCTGGGCGCTGTCCCTCAGCTCTTCAGCTCAAGGCTAGCGCTCTACCACTTGAGCCACAGCGCCACTTCTGGCTTTCTTTTCTTTTTGCTTATGTGGTGCTGAGGAATCGAACCCAGGGCCTCAGACATGCAAGGCCAAGTGCTCTACCACTGAGCCACCTTCCCAGACCCCCTAGCTTTATTTTAATACGTATTCAAATTTTGTATCATCATGGGGACTTCAACTCAGACCCTAGGCTCTTGTCTCTTTTGCTAGCTCAGCTACATTTGACTTTGGCTTTTTGGTAGTTCATTGGAGATAAGAATCAAGTTTTAGCTGGGCATCAGTGGCTCAAGCCTGTTATCCAAGCTACTCAGGAGCCTGAGACCTGAGGATCACAGTTCGAAGCCAGCATGGACAGGAAAGTCTATGAGACTCTTATCTCCAATGAACCAGCAAAAAGCTGTAAGTGGAGTTGTGGCTCTAGTGGTAGAGCAAGAAAGCCTTGAGCAAGAAAGCTCAGGGACAGCACCCAGGCCCTGAGTTCAAGCCCCAGGACCAGCATACACACATACAAAAAAGAATCCGAATTTTCTGCCTGAGCTGGCTTTGAACCATGATCCTCAGTGCTCAGTCACCTGAGCACCTAGGATGACAGGCATCCTACACCAGTGCCCGGAATGATGGAGTCTTTGAGATCTTCTAGGGAAAATGGACTCTGCGTTGGACAGGAAATCCGTGGCAGTGGAGGAGCCAGGTTTTTGTTTTTGTTTTTTTTAAATAAGTTTTTTGTTGTGAAAATACTGTACAGAGGGGTTACAATCACATGAACAAGGTAATGAGTACATTTCTTATCAAGCATTGTTGCCGCCTCCTTTGTTTTTCCCCTCCCATCCTTTCCCTTCCATCCCCCCACCCCCACCCCCATGCCTAACTTGTAAAGTTCGTTTTTCGACATAGGGTCTTGTACATCTCATTGCTCATTGTTGCAGTGGGTCAATCTGTATCCCTATTTAAACATTTTGTTTTTTTCCCTTCCCCTCACAAATTATACCAACATCAAATACAGTGAAAACAGGGGTTATGCCGTGGGGGAGGGACATACAAAGCAACACGAAAATCACGTAGTACCTTATAAATACGTTAGAAACAATAGCAAGAAAGTAAAAACCACTTGTGTCTTTATCTTGGGGTTCATTTCATTTAACATCATCTTATCTGACCTTTTCTGCTTGTCTCAGCTATATACTAGTTATTGCAAATAAGGGAAACCATGGGACCTATGTTTCTTTGGACCTGGCTTACTTTACTTAATATAATTTTTTCCAAGTCTTTCCATTTCCTAACAAATGGGGCAATGTCATTCTTTCTGATGGAGGCATAGAATTCCATTGTGTATACATACCACATTTTCTTGATCCATTCATCTACTGAGGGGCATCTGGGTTGGTTCCATATCTTAGCTATGGTAAATAATGCTGCAATAATGCTGGTAGCTTTAGTGTGGTCTTGTTTGTGATCATTTGGGTAAATGCCCCAAAGTGGGATTGCTGAGTCATAGGGGAGCTCTATGTGGAGTCTTTTGAGGAACCTCCATACTGCTTTCCAAAGTGGTTGCACAAGTTTACATTCCCACCAACAATGCAGTAAGGTTTCCTTCTGTCCACATCCCTTCCAGCGTCTGTTGTTATTAGAGTTCTTGATTATAGCCATTCTAACTGGGGTGAGGTGGAATCTCAATATTGTTTTGATTTGCATTTCTTTTTTTTTTTTTTTTTTTCGTGGGGCTTGAACTCTGGGCCTGCGCGCTGTCCCTCAGCTCTTCAGCTCAAGGCGAGCGCTCTACCACTTGAGCTACAGCACCACTTCCTGATTTGCATTTCTTTTATGACTAGAGGAGTTGAGCATTTCTTCATTCTTATTGAGGAGCCAGCTTTATCTGCTGTGTACCCCAGTAACTTCCCACTCACTCTGGCTCTTGGTTTTTGGTATGAGGGCCTCAGGACGCTGGCTGTGCTGTTTTCTGTAGGGCAGGCAGTCAGTGGGGCCTCTGCTCAATGCTCTCCCTACCTCTTTGTCCTCCAGATTCTGTCTGTAATGCAAGCCCACCAGCTGCCCTCAGACAGGAGGCCCACACTTGGTGAGGTAAGTCCTTCAAGCCGGGCTGCTTGCTGACAGTGGTGTCCTTGGCCTCTTCTTATGGCCTCACAGGTTGTTGAGCCCTTTGTCTCCTTTTTTTCTTTTTTTTAAATCAGTCATAGCTGGGCACCGGTGGCTCATGCCTATAATCCTAGCTACTCAAGAGGCTGAGATCTGAGGATCGCGGTTCAAAGCCAACCCTGGGCAGGAAATGTCTGTGAGACTCGTATCTCCAATAAACCACTAGAAAATCGCAAGTGGCACTAGAAAATCGGAAGTGGCACTATGGCTCAAGTGGTAGAGTGCTAGCCTTGAGCTGAAGAGCTGAGGGACAGCGCCCAAGCCCAGAGTTCAAGCCCCATGACTGATCAAAAAAAAAAAAAATCAGTCGTGGGGCTTGAACTCAGGGCCTGAGCTGTCCCTGAGCTTTTGTGCCAAGGCAAGTGCTCTACCACGTAGAGCCACATTGCTACTTGTAGTTTTCTGATGGTTCATTGGAGATAAGAGTCTCAAGGACTTTCCTGCCCAGGCTGTGATGCTCAGATCTCAGCTTTCTGAGTAGCTAGGATGGCACGAGACACCAGCACCTGGGTGTTTTTTGTTTTTGGTCCAAGATTGGGACTCAACCTCTGTACCTGAGGCTTTTACTCATTGGCTAGTACTCTACCAACTTTGGAGCCATGCCTCCAACCCCAGCCCCACGTCTCTTGTTCCTCCTAGGTCCCTTCCCAGTCCCCTCAGCGCTCCATGGACTCCATCAGCCAGGACTCATCCACCTCCAGCTTCTCCTCAGCATTGGTGAGCTCTCGGCAAGAAGAGGCCAAGAAGGACTTCAGAGAGGTGAGTCTCGGGTGGGAGATGGTGAAGAGGATTCTGGGATCCTAGTATCATGGTGGCTGGCTAAAGAGCTGTAGCCTGGCTAGGTGCTAGGAGCTCATGCCTGTAATCACAGCCACTCAGGAGACTGAGATTTGAGGATCACTGGTTCAAAACCAGCCTGGGCCCTCCCCCACGGTATAACCCCTGCTTTCACTGTATTTGATGTTGGTATAATTTGTGGAGGGGAAGGGAAAAAACAAATCGTTTAACTAGGGATACAGGTGGACCCATTGCAACAATGAGACGTACAAGTCGTTAGGTCGAAAACGAACTTTACAACTTTGGTGGCGGGGGGAGGGTTGAGTGGAGGGGTGGGGGAGGATCGGATGGGAAGGGGAAACAAAGGAGGAGGCTACAATGCTTGATAAGAAATGCACTCATTATCTTGCCCATGTAATTGTAACCCCTCTGTACAGTATTTTCACACACACACAAAAAAAAAACCAGCCTGGGCATGAAAGTTTGTGACACTCTTTTTATCTCCAATGAACCACCAACAAGCTGGAAGTGGAGGTGTGGTTCAAGTGGTAAAGTACTAGTGTTGAGTGAAAAAGCCAAATGAGAGCATGAGGTCCGGAGTTCAAGTCCTAGTACTGGCTCCAAACAAAAGCAAAAAATAAACTCACCCATCAAAGTGTACAGATAGAGGCTGTTAAGATTTCAGAAGATTTATGTTACTTCTGGTTTTTTAGTTTATATTAAAATCTTTCCCTGACATTCTTTTTTCCTTTTATTAAGGTAGAAAAACTATTAAGAGCTGTTGCAGATGGAGATCTAGAAATGGTGAGTTTTTGGACATGTAATGCCTAAAGCTTGCTCTCAGCTCTGGGATGTAAAACATTTACATCCCAGGGTCTTCCTGCTCAGGCTCAAGTGGTGTGGACTCTGCTCAACTCTATCTAGAGGGTACTGTTAATATATTTGGTAAGCCAAATATCATGGATTACTACCTGTGGTTTTCACCAAATGTGGTCAGCATTATAAGCACATTTTAAAAAGCCAAAAGAAGCCAGCTGCCAATGGCTCACACCTGTAATCCTAGCTACACAGGAGGCTGAGATCTGGAGGATCATGATTTTGAAGCCAGTGTGGGCAGGAAAGTCGATGAGACTCTTTTTTTCCAATTAACTACCAAAAAGCAGGAAGTGAAATTGTGTGACTCAAATGGTAGAGATTACAGGTGTGAGCTACAAGTGCGTAGCTTCTTTCCACTTTGTGTGTGTGTGTGTCTGTGCACGCCTTCTTCCACTTGAGCAACAGCTCCACTTGTGGCTTCTTTGGGTAGTTTACTGGAAATAAGAGTCTCATGGACTTTACTGCCCTGGTTGGCTTTGTACCACAATCCTCAGATCTTAGCCTCCTGAGTAAATGGGATGACAGGTGTGAGCCACTGGTACCTGGCCACCTGTTCCTTTTTTGAGAAAGAGGAAGAGAGTTCGTGTGAGCTGTGATGATGGTAGGTTGGTCCCTATGTTTCCATTGAAAGAACATAGAAAAGCCCGAACATGAGGAACTCTGGAGTCTTCTCTGGGAAGCCATGTCTTAATGTCTTCAGTGGTTCAACAGTGATGTGTAGGTCAATTTGCAGCAGATTTATGTGTACGCATATGGTGTGCGCATATGTGCGTGTGTGCATGCATGCGTCACTCAGGATAGCCTTTAGTCCCTGTCTTTCCTTACTGCCCACCGCCAGGTGCGCTACCTTCTGGAGTGGACAGAGGAGGACCTGGATGAAGCCGATGATGCTGTTGGTGTGGCAGGTGTGGAATTCTGCCACCCCTTGTGCCAGTGCCCAAAGTGTGCTCCAGCTCAGAAGGTTTGCTCTTGTTCTGTCCTTAGGGGGAGGGTGAAGTATGCCTCACCTCTACCTCTCAGCCAGTGATGATCGAGTATCGGTGAATAAATGGCCCCCAGTGCTGGTGTCTCCGTAGCAGAGGATGGAATGCTGCAGACACTGGTGCGGGGTGGGGTTTGGGCTGGCTGCCTGCCGCATGGCACCGAGTGGGCAGGGTGAGCCCACGCAGTTCAAGTAGACTGGAGGGAGAGACCCTTGTTGGCCTGGTTCAATGTCCACAGTGGGTCACACCTGTAATCCCAGCTACTTTGGAGGCAGAATTAGGAGGATTGTGGTTCAAGTCTAGTAGCCCGGGAAAAAATGTCGTCATAATTACAGGCCTCACAGGGCATGTCGCAATCAATTGGGTCCTTCCTAAGTTTTGTTTTTAATGTGCATGTACTGGGGCTTGAACTGAGGGCCTCACACTCTTGCTTAGCTTTATCTTTTTTCTTTCTTCCTTTTTTTTTTTTTTCCAGACCTGAGGTTTGCACTCAGACACTGGGATCTGTCCCCGAGCCTCTCTGTGCTCAAAGCTAGCACTCTCCTGCTTGAGCCCCAGAACCACGTCCCTTTTCTGTGTATGTGGTACTGAGGAAATCGAACCCAGGGCTTCATGCATGCTAGGCAAGCACTCTACCACTGAGCCACATTCCAGCCCCTAGCTTATTCTACCCAAGGCTGATGTAAAGTTTACCATTTGAACCACAACTTAGGGCTTTTTGCTGGTTCATTAGAGATAAGGGTGTCACAGACTTTCCTGCCTAGGCTAGCTTTGAACCACAATCCTCAGATCTTGGCCCTTCTGAGTAGGTTTGATTACAGGTAGGAGCAACAGTGCTACCCTTACCTTTTGTGTTGGGAGTGAGATGAGGTGTTTCAGTTTCTTCCTGGGGCTAGCCACAGACTTTCACTATTGAGTTGCCTGTCACTGGAGGGTGGGGTGGGGCTCATTTTCAGGAGATTGCTTTATTAAACACAGAAGTTAAAGCCTGGTGCTGGGGACTGGGAATGTAGCTTAGTGGAAGAGTGCTTGCTTAGCATGCATGAAGCCCTCTGTTCAATTCCTCAGTACCACATAAACAGAAAAAGCTGGACGTGGCTCTGTGGCTCAAGTGGCAGAGTGCTATCCTTGAGCAAAAGCAGCTCAGGGACAGTGCCCAGGCCCTGAGTTCAAGCCCCAGGACCTACAGAAAAAAAAAAAAGCCTGGTTCTGGTGGGTCACACCTATAATCCTAGCTACTTAGGAGGCTTAGATCTGAGGATCACAGTTCAAAGCCAGCTTGGGCAGGAAAGTCTGTGAGACTCTTATTCCCAGTGAACCAGCAAAAAAGCTGGAAGTGGAGCTGTGGTTCAGGCAGTACAGCACCAGCCATGAGCAAAAGAGCTCATAGACCATGTCTAGGCCCTGAGTTCAAGCCTAAGACTGGCACCAAAAAAACCAACCAAACAACAAAAAAAAATCCCAACACTGAAAAAGAGAAATGAATCTGTTACACAAGGCTGAAAGAGTAGGGGATCCACCAGGGCAGTGGGATGGAATTCTGGACCCCAGGGCACAAGGCATCCATTTTCAGGTGGGTTTCTGGAACCCTTACAACTCTTCTCTCCATCATGTGCCTTTGCTAGAAGCTGGCCAAGGTTCCTGCCAGTGGGCTGGGGGTGAACGTGACCAATCAAGACGGTGCCTCCCCCCTGCATGTGGCTGCCCTTCATGGCCGGGCCGACCTCGTTCTCCTCCTGTTGAAGCATGGCGCCAGCCCAAGTGCCAGAGACAAGGCGCAAGCCACACCCCTCCACCTGGCCTGCCGGAAGGGCCACTTTGAGGTATGGCTTCTGGCCCCTTCATGGACCGCAGGGGCTGGCTAGACCCTCACCCGGTGACAGTGGACAGAGGAAAGCCAGGGCTTGGCCAGAGGACCGGCTTGCTTCCTTCTCCCACCCTAAGATCCTGAGATGCAGACCCTAGAACACACAACTCTGGTCCCTGGGCATGGAGAGACTCCCTTCCACCCCCTATCAACCTGAGTGGCCCAAAGCCATGAGTTCCAATTTTGAACCCAGTAAGAGCTGGCTCTGGTGGCCAGATATTGGACTTGCCACCACCCTTGGCCTGTGCCAAATGGCGTAAGATTTTCTCAAATGTGTATTATGCAGAGGAGTCCTGGGGGAAGTTTGGATCCATTCAAAGAAAGGCTGAGCCTTTCTTTTTTAGGAATTTTATTTTTCCTTTTTTGTTCCAGTCTTGAGGCTTGAACTCAGGGCCTAGGTTCTATCCATGAGCTTTTGTGCTCCAGGCTGGCATTTTACCACTTGAGCCACAGCTCCACTTCTGGGTTTTTCCTGATTGATTGGACATAAGAGTCCTACTTTCCTGCCTGGGCTAGCTTTTAACTACGAGGCTCAGATCCCAGCCTCTTGAGTAACTGGGATTACAGGTGTGAGCTACCAGCATCCAGGTAGAGGATTTTCATGAAAGCTGAAATGCTTCTCTGGAGTAGGTGGTGAAATGTCTGCTGGACTCAAATGTGAAACCTGATAAAAAGGACCTGAGTGGGAACACACCCCTGATTTGTGCCTGTGCTGAGGGCCACCATGAAGTTGCAGCCCTACTGCTACAGGTAAGGGCATAAGCCACTAGGCCATTTTCCCTGTGTTTGGAGCAGCCCACCCGCCACTCACCTGTTAGGGGCTTGCACCTGCTGCGGTCATGTGAGGATCTATGTTAGCATGGGCCAGCGCCTCTGTGTCCATGCTGATTCTGGAGGCAGCCTCAGGATGGGGCTGGGCTTTGCTTGAAGGCTCAGGCCCTGCTCACCTAGCAGGATGAGTGGAGTTGTTACCTAATATGTCTCTCTATGTCACTGCGTCTCTTCCCACAAGGTTATATAAGTTGATGGCAGAAGGTAGAATCAGAAGAAGCAAGGAAAAATCCAATTCATCTGTTAAGGAACCTGCTTGGGTGGACTTAAAAAAAAAAGTGTATACTCTGGAGTGTTGAGATTTGAGGATCATGGTTCAAAGCCAGCCAGGCAGGAAAAGTCTGTGAGACTCTTAACTTCAATGGACTACCAAAAATGGGAAGTAGAGCTGTGGATCAAATGGCAGAGTGACTAACCTTAATCAAAAAAGCTAAGAGAGGGCTGGGAAGGTGGCTCAGTGGTAGAGCGCTTGCCTTGCATGCACGAGGCCCTGGGTTCAATTCCTCAGCACCACATAAGCAAAAAGAAAAAAGCCGGAAGTGGCGCTGTGGCTCAAGTGGTAGAGTGCTAGTCTTGAGCTGAAGAGCTGAGGGACAGCGCCCAGGCCCAGAGTTCAGGCCCCAGGACTGGACCAAAAAGAAAAAGCTAAGAGAGGGCTGGGAAGGTGGCTCAGTGGTAGAGTGCTTGCCTTGCATGCATGAAGCCCTGGGTTCAATTCCTCAGTACCACATAAGTGGTAGAGTGCTAGCCTTGAGCTGAAGAGCTGAGGAACAGTGCCCAGGCCCAGAGTTCAGGCCCACAACCCCCCAAAAAAGGAAGAATATGTGTATAGACTAGTGTGTATGTATAGACTAGTGTAGTGGCATGCAGCTGTAATCCCTGCAATCTAGGAAGATGAGGCAGGAGGATTAGGCCCCCAGAGAGCGACCTTGTCTCAAAAGGGAACATGAATAGTTGCAGATTGCTATTGTTTTGTTTCATTCAACATTTAAAAAACTGAGATGCTGGGTGCTGGTAGCACACATGCGCCATCCAAGCTACCCAGGGCTAAGATCTGGGGATGGAGATTCAAAGCAATGAAGCACCTAAAAACTAGAAGTAGAGCTGTGGCTCAAAGTGGTAGAGCACTAGCCTGGAGTCAAAAAAGCTCAGGCAGTGCCCAGCCCACAATTGACAAAAAAAAAAAAAAAAAAATTAACTTTAGATTCCCACTGTTTTGTTTCATTTAACACTAAAAAAAAAAAAAACTGATGAAAATCTTGATTTTTGGACAGGGGGTTTAACTCAGGTAGAAGAACATTTGTATAGCATACAGGAAGTCCTGAATTTAAGCAACAATACCCCAAATAAAAAACAGTGGTCAAGTATGGAGGAAGCCATGTTTTGGTCCATTAGTAACTACATGAGTGGATGGCTTCTGGTCTTCCCATTGCAGTGACAAATGCCACAGGGACATCTTCCTAACATGTTCAAGGCCAGTCCTAGTCCTTGAACTCAGGGCCTGAGCACTGTCCCTGAGCTTCTTTTGCTCAAAGTTAGCACTCTACCACTTGAGAGCCACAGTGCCTCTTCTAGCTTTTTCTGGGTATGCGGTACTGAAGAATTAAACCCAGGGCTTCATGCATGCTAGGCAAGCACTCTACCACTAAACCTGGGAAGAATCTTATAGTAAATTCTTCCCAACCTGGGAAGAATCTTATAGTAAACACCGAAGTACTGCCACCTTGCTTGTGCAGGAGTTCTTTTTTTGGTACTAGTCCTGGGGCTTGAACTCAGGGCCTAGGTGTTGTCTCTGAGCTTTTGTGCTCAAGGCTAGCACTTGACCACTTGAGCCACAGCTCCACTTCTGGCTTTTATTAATTTTTTCTGGTCGTGGGGTTTGAACTCTGGGCCTGGGCGCTGTCCCTCAGCTCTTCAGCTAAAGGCGAGGGCTCTACTACTTAAGCCACAGTACCACTTCTGGTTTTCTGGTGGTTTTATTGGAGATAAAGAGTTTCACAAACTTTTTCTGCCCAGGCTGGCTTTGAACTGCGATGATCAGATCTCAGCCTCCTGAGTAGCTAGGATTACAGGCGTGAGCCACCAACACCCAGCAACTTCTGGCTTTTTTTTTGGTGGTTCACTGGGGATAAGAGTCTCATGGGCTTTCCTACCTGGGCGGGCTTGGAGCCACAATCCTCAGCTCTCAGCCTCCTGAGTATCTAGGATAACAGGTATAAACCAGAGTGCCTGGCCTTTGTGCAGGAATTCTTCACCATCCCTTTCTGGTGTTCTGTTTTCCAGCATGGGGCCTCTATGAATGCTTCCAACAGTAAGGGCAACACGGCCCTGCACGAGGCAGTGATAGGAAACCATGTGTTCGTGGTGGAGCTGCTTCTGCTCCACGGAGCATCGGTTCACATCATGAACAAGAGGCAGCGCACAGCCATAGACTGCGCTGACCAGGTGAGCATGTGGCATAGGAACTGCGCAACCCCAGTTTGGGACAGCTTGGCCACCGCTGTCTCCCCACATCTCGTCTTCTATGCTGGGCCCAGCTCTTACGCTAGGAACCCACTAGTGTGCTCACAGCTTGCTGTCATGCTTTTCTTCTATTTTTTGTTGGTGCTGGACCTGGGGCTTGAACTCAGGGCCTGGGCACTGTCCCTGAGCTTTTCTGCTCAAGGCTAGTGCTCAACCACTTGAGCCACAACTTCATTTTCAGCTTTTTCTTTACTGCAAGTCCTGGGGCTTGAACTCAGGGCCTGGGGACTGTCCCTGAGCTTCTTTTGCTCAAGGCTAGCGCTCTACCACTTGAGCCATAGTGTCACTTCTGGCTTTTTTTGTGTGTGTATGTGCTACTGAGGAGTTGAACCTAGGACTTAAAGCATGCTAGGCAAGCACTCTACCACTAAGCCACATTTCCAGCCTTCCAGCTTTTTCTTTGGTGGTCAAGAGTCTCATGGACTTGCTGCTCAAGCTGGCTTTGAACCATGATTCTCAGATCTCACTGGAGTAGCAAGGATTAGAGGTGTGGGCCACTGGCACATGGTGCCCAGCTGGAATGGAATTTTTTGATTGTTCTGGGGCTTGAACTCAGGGCCTTGGCACTGACCCTGAGCTTTTTTGCTCAGGGATAGTACTCTGCCGCTTGAGCCACATTTCCACTTCCTTTTTTTTTCCCCCCCCGACGGTCCTGGGGCTTGAACTCAGGGCCTGTTACATTTCCAGCTCGTTCGTTCTTGTGTGTGTGTGTGTGTGTGTGTTTAGAGATATCTCAAGGATTTTCCTGCTGGGACGGTCCTGGGGCTTGAACTCAGGGCCTGTTACATTTCCAGCTCGTTCGTTCGTGTGTGTGTGTGTGTGTGTGTGTGTGTGTGTGTGTGTTTAGAGATATCTCAAGGATTTTCCTGCTGGGGCTGGCTTCAAACCACGATCCTTTGATCTCAGCCTCCTAAGTAGCGTGAGTCATAGGCAAGGTGCTTGGCTGGAGTAGAAACATTTTAAACTTCCAATTTGGTGCTATTTCAAAGGGTGATAGTGGTAATTTTGTCTGAGTGCCATGTGGCAGCTCCCAGGCAGCAATGGGTCCTGTCATTGGCACATAGTGCTTACATACCCAGCCAGCCCCGAGTCCCCAGTGACACACAGCAGAGCCAGGCTGCACTCTACCGGCTACCGAGCATCACAGCCTCCAAATGGCTTAGAGCACGCACAGCCCCGTGGGTTACTGATGTTCACATTCTACCGCTCCCTTTCCCATGGAACTGCAGAAGTCAAAAATCATGGAGTTACTTCAGGTAGTACCAAGTTGCGTGACCTCCTTAGACGACGTTTCAGAATCAGACGCCGGGGAATACGTGACTGTCAAGATCCGGAAAAAGTGTAAGTGTTCCTGCTTTCTGGAAAGTTCCACCTGCCTTGACTGGGACACTCGTGGGAGCTCAGGGTTTGTACACTACTCAAGGCAAACTGCGTCATGGTGTGAGGGAACCACAGAAATGTGAGGAGCAGACTCTTCAGGTGGACGGGTTATTCATAAATTTTTTTTTCTGCCTGTCCTGGGGATTGAACTCAGGGCCGAGGTGCTGTCCCTGGGCTTATTTCTTTTTTCAAGTCTGGTGCTCTACTACCTGAGCCATAGCTCTACTTCGAACTTTTTGCTGGTTCACTGGAGATAAGAATCTCATGGATTTCCTTGCTTTGGCTGGCTTCAGACTGTGATCCCCAGCCTCTTTAGTAGCTACCATGTCATGCTGTTTCCTGGAGTTAAGAATAGACACTCATAGCCTGAGCCTGAAGGCTCAAGCTCTAATTACTAACGAGACAGGAGGCGCAGATCTGTAGTCTCAGCACCAGGATGAGCAGGTTAGCCAGCGCCTGGTGAGTGCTAAGCAAGCTCTCTGCTGAGCTACACCCCTGGGAAAAAAATCCTGATTTGTTGTTGTTTTCTCACTTGAAGCTACACTGTGGTTGATGCCAATTAGAACAGCAGTTGCCAGACAGCTATGGCACTTTATATTCCTTTTTGTGCCAGTCCTGTTCATGAACTCAGGAGCCACATTTTTTTCTCCCCCTCATCTCTCCCCCCCCACTTTTTTTTTTGGCCAGTCCTGAGGCTTGAGCTCAGGGCCTGGGCAGTCCTTGAGCTCAGGGTAGCACTCTACCAGTGCAACTTCAGGTTTTTGTCTATGTGGTACCAGGAAGTGAACCCAGGGCTATATTATGCGTGCTAGGCAAGCACTCTACCACTAAGCCACATTTCCAGCCCCATCACAATTTTTATCTTTTTTGGTGGTTAACAGGACATAAGAGTCTCACAAACTAGCCGACAAACTAGCCGGGTGCTGGTGGCTCATGCCTGTAATCCTAACTACTCAGGAGGCTGAGATCTGAGGATCATGGTTCAAAGCCAGCCCGGGCAGGAAAGTTTGTGAAATTCTTATCTCCAATAAACCACTAGAAAACCGAAAGTGGTGCTGTGGTTCACGTCGTTAGAGTGCTCACCTTGAGCTGGAGTACAGGGACAGCACCCAAGCCCAGAGTTCAAGCCCTATGACCAATCAAAAAAAAAAGTCTCACAAACTTTGCCTCCTGGGCTGGCTTTGAACTGTGCTACTCAGATCTCAGCCTCCTGTGTAGCTAGGATATTCTTTTCTCAAAAGTTTAATGGGGTGTCCTTGTTCCATGGCCCTTTAAAATGTATGAGCAAATACACAGTCTGGATAATTGGGAGGTGACACCAACAAGACTGGCAAGTTTGAGTGTATGAGGGTGTGTCTCACAGTTCACGTCTTAATAAACAGGTATCTGCTACTAGATTTCCTTAAGCAAAGTTGGTGCTTTATTTTCTCAATTTTGTTAAGCTAAGAAATTGGAAAGCTTGCACTTGTAAGACGGTCACTTGGAATTCTCCAGTGTTCATCCTTTTATCTACAGGGAGCTCAACACTGTATGATCTCCCTGATGAGCCTTTTACAAGACAGTTTTACTGCGGGCCCTCGGTTGGTGGATCTGAGTGAGTATGGAATTTAGGTTTAAAGATCTGGGCCTTGGGCTAGGAATCTGACTTAGTGATAGAGTGCTTGCCTAGCATGCATGAAGCTCTGGGTTCGATTCCTCAGTACTACATAAACAGAAAAGGTCAGAAGTGGTCCTGTGGCTCAAGTAGTAGAGTGCTAGCTTGAGCAAAAGCAGCTTAGTGACAGTGCTCAGGCCCTGAGTTTAAGCCCCAGGACAGTCTGAGCCTCAAAGCAGTCCTGGGGAATCCGCGGTCAATGCCACCACCTTGTGGTCAACCACAGTACTGCATACTGCTGTTGCAAATACTGGTTTATTTATGGTTAACATTTCATTTCTTTTAAGTTTTAGGAAAAAAACTTCAAAGGAGATTATGGCAAGAGGTAGAAGTGTCCCTAATTTTACTGAGGTGAGTTGTTATATACTGGCTAATAATATATATATATATATTTTTTTGGCCAGGCCTGGCCTTGAACTCAGGGCCTAGATGCTGTCCCCGAGTTGTTTTCTTTCTCAAGGCTAATGTTCTACCACTTGAGAGCCACAGCTCCACTTCTGACTTTTTGGTGATAAACAGGAGATAAGCGTCTCACAAATTTTCTTGCCCAGGCTGGTTTCAAACTTATCCTCAGATGTTCGCTTCCTCACTACAGGATTACAGGCCTGAGCCACCAGCACTGTGCCACCATCCTAAATTTTAAAGCCTACTTTTTCAGATGAGTTGTTTCCCTTTCTTTTTCTTTCATTGAGAGTTAGCAACAGTTACAACTGCAGTCCTCCACTGGGACAGACAGGAAAGTGAGCTTTCTTAGAGTCACTCAAGCTACATTTCTTGTTAGGCCCTGGTGGCTCACCTCTGTTATCCTGGCTACTCAGGAGACAGATCTGAGGATTGTGGTTGGAAGCCATCTGAGATAATAAAGTCCATGAAAAGAGCTCTTTAAAATTTTTTTCTTTTTCTTTTCTTTTTTTTTGGTCAGTCGTGGGCTTGAACTCTGGGCCTGGGCGCTGTCCCTCAGCTCTTCAGCTCAAGGCTAGCACTCTACCACTTGAGCCAAAGCACCACTTCCGGCTTTTTCTGTTTGTGGTGCTATCAAACCTAGGACCTCATGCATGTGAGGTACTCTACCACTGAGCCATCTTCACAGCCCGAGAAGAACTCTTTATCTCCAATGAACCACTATAAACAAAACAAGTGGAGCTGTGGCTCAACTGATAAGAGTGTCAGCCTTGAACCCAAAAAAATCTCAGGGACAGTACTCAGGCCTTGAGTTCAAGCCCCAGTACTGGCGCTTGTGCAGTGCATACGTGGCACGCACACATACACAAAATTTATAATGTGACTCACTTTAAGTTAGATGTGGATTCTGCCTTATGGGGGGGGGGGTCCTGAGCCCACTGCCTGACCATGGCAGCCGCTGTGAAAATGGTGCTTTATGCACAGTGCACCTGGAAACCAAATTATACCTTTCCTTTAGCCAGAGAGGCAAGGAGTCACAGGGAAGCAGAGCCACCCACCAGAGCCACCCAGAGGTGCAGCTGCAGACAGAGGAGACGAGGGGCCTGCGCAGAGTGCTGGGCTGAGGCCAGCTGTTCCGGCGCCTGAGGGTGTTATCCACAGAGGCACAGTGAACGACACACCAGACCTGCAGACCCCTGAGACCCTTGGCCAGCCGGCCACGTCCCCAGAGCCCAGCCTCTCCCCGTCTAAGCCATCAGAAGGGACTGACAGGTCTGCTGCCAAGGTGTGAGATGAGATGCTGTGGGAGAATGTGGCTTGGAAATTACAATGCTTATAAAGAGACTTGACAGACTTTATGCCCACCATGGGAGAAAATCAAGAGTTTTTCTGTGGCTGCGGGCAAGAGGGTGAGCAAGAAAAACAGCCACCATTGAGGGAAGCTAATGTATGACAACTCTGAATCCAGATCCTTCATCCCAGATGTTTCTAAGTAAAACCATTTCCTGGTTAGGGGATAGGTTTTGGCGTCAGACCCTGCCGGCCTTGGTCCCAAAGGCACCCAGCCACCAGGAACAGCAGAAATGGGCAAACCCTGAGCGGAGCTGAAAGAAGCCATTTACATTGCCAGAGGCTGGGGAAGCCAGGGGAAAATGGTTCCTCAAAAGAAGAATGGAACCTTTGGAAGTCACTGGAGTCCCTGGTGGCCAGGGTGGCGGGGAGTCCTGGCCTGCTCCACCTGGCCTGCCCCATGCATCAGGAGACGCCGTCCCACGGCAGATGCACTGTTACGCCGCACGCAACCCGGCCCGCCAGCCGCAGATGGTCACTAGCACGTACATTTGGCACGTGTTTCCTTCGTCTTGATTCACATTCACACGTATAGCACAAAGCAGGTCAAAGTTACTTTTTGAGTTCAGGTGTCTTGTCCCTTCCTCCTTTTTATGGATTTCTATAGATGACACTATTTTTCTGTTGCTCCTGGCCCAGCGCTGCGCCCGTGGGGCTTGTCCGAGTCCCTTCCCTGTAGCTGTGGGATGAGGATGGCTCTGCACGTCCTTGGAAACACTTGTGTCTGTACAGAGGGAAAAGGCTGCAGTATTTTTCTACAAAGTAATTTATGATTTCTAATTTTCTAACGTGCCTTGGATGTGTGCCAAATGATGGAGAAGAAACAGTAAACGCTGATTGCTGAGTGAGTCTGGGCGTCTGTTGTGCTTCCATTTTGCTGTTTCTCAGCCTGGTCTGTACACAGCATCCCCGCTGCACGGGGAACCTTGATTGTCCATCCGCCTGGCTAGGATGGACTGACTGATGGATGCAGCACACACAGCTCCTGGGCCCCAGTACTTTTTTCGGGGCTCACACCACCATTTTAGCATCTTTTAGAATGATCATACAAGTTTCTGTTGCTTTCCTTACTTCTTGTTCTGAGTTTTCCTCCCTTTCTCCACTTCTACACAAACCACCTTATGGGCTTGGCTGCTGTGGCTCTGTAACATCCTAATTAAGAAATGATGAGGCTAGGAGTGTGGCTCAGTGGTAGAGTGCTTGCCTAGCTTCCTTGAAGCCCTGGGTTCAGTTCCTCAGTACCACATACACAGAGTGAGTCGGAAGTGGCACTGTGGCTCAAGTGCTAAAGTGCTAGCCTTGAGCAAAAGAAGCTCAGGGACAGTGCCCAGGTCCTGAGTTCAAGCCCCAGGACTGGAACAACAACAACAACAAAAAGCTGGGCACCCAGTTCAGTGACAAATGCCTATAACCCCAGCACATGAGGACAGGCTGGACCACAGCAAGGCCCTGTTTGGGGGGGGAGGGGAGAAGGGAGACCCTCAAGCTCATACCTATAATCCTAGCTACTTAGTATGCAGTGAACAGGAGGACCAGGGTTTTCCAGCCTAAGTAGGAAAGTCCCAAAGACTCCACCTCCGAAATAGCCAGCAAAAAGGCTGGGGGCCTGGCTCATGCAGTGGAGCACCACCTGAGCAAGCAAGCACGAGGCCCTGAGTTCAAACACCAGTACTGGCAGGATAGCTAAAACTTAGAATATCTACTCCACATAATTTGACCTATAACATCTCTACCCTGTTGCCTTTAAGGACCTTGATACTAACTGGACACTGGCAGCTCACACGTAGTTCAAGCTATTCAGGAGGCTGAGCTCTGAGGATTGGGGTTCAAAGCCAGCAGACAGGAAGTCTGTAAGACTTATCCCCAGTGAACCACCAAAAATCTCAAGTGGTAGCGTGCCAGCCTTGAGCAGAAGAGCAGAGCCAGCGCTTCACCAAAAATCCCAAGTGGTAGCGTGCCGGCCTTGAGCAGAAGAGCAGAGCCAGCGCTTCAGGGTCTGAGTTCCGCATCACTGCTCCCTTTCCCACCCTAACAAAGCCTGGAAAGCGTTTCTGGTGGCACCACCCCCAGATATTAAACAGAGAGCCTTTGCCTTGCTGGGCAAGTGCCCCAGCCTTTTTATGTTTTTTTTTTTGGCTGGTCATGGGGTTTGAACTCTGGGCCTGGGCACTGTCCCTCAGCTCTTCTGCTCAAGGCAAGCACTCTATCTCTTGAGCCACAGCACCACTTCCGGTTTTCTGGTGGTTTATTGAAAGGAAAAGTCTCATAGACTTTCCTGCCTGGGCTGGCTTTGAACTGCAATCCTCTGATCTCAGCCTCTCTGAGTACCTAGGATTACAGGTATGAGCCACTGGTGCCTGGCTATGGTTTGGTTTTGAGACAAGGTCTTGTTAACATTTCCTACACTGGCCTCAAACTTGCAATCCTCCTGCCTCCATGTCCTGACATCTGGGATTATAAAGATGTATAACCACACCTGGCTTCTTGTTGTTGCAGTACTATGGAGTTGAAATCCGAGCCAGGCACTTCTACCCCTTAAGCCAATCCCCCTTGGTAGGAACTTCTTGTGCAAGGGCAGTGCCACCTCCAAGAGGAGATCTGCTTCCTGCTTGGAGGACCTACATCCGGAAATTTCGGATATGCTCGGACAACAAGGCCATTTGAATGTCCCCAGTGTGCCTGGATGCTTCATGAAGGTCTCGTCCACGCTGCCATTTGCTTAGAAGCAAAGGGAGATGCACACACCTCTGGTGACTGGAGATGGCATGAAAACCACTCACTCCAGGCTTTCGTTTGCATAAACAAGTTTAATTTCTTAAAGGCATATAGACAATAAACAAAGTAAACATTGAAGAGCTTTAACCTCCATCCTAGAACTGTGCCGCTAAGCTTGAGAGTTCAGTAATCGTCGTCGTCATCTGAGTCCATTACTTTCCTTCTGTTGAACTGGGGAGGATTAAAGGCGTCATAACATTGTCAGACCTGAGCAGAAACATCCGTGGCTGCCGGGTGGGTGAAGCGACGTGGGGGCCTTAGACACAGCCAGACCTCCCCACAGCCCTTAGGACTTCCATCAAATCAGTCTACAGGCTGCAAGATGCCGATATGGTAGATACACATTCAACACTCAACTTTTTTTTTTTTTTTTTTTTTGGGTGTGTGTGTGTGCTATTCCTGGGGCGTGAACTCAGGGCTTGGGCAGGGACTGGTCCCTAAGCACTTTTGTTTTTTTCTCAAGGCTAGTGCTTTAACACTTGAGCCACAGCTCCACTTCTGGATTTTTGTGGCTAACTGGAGATAGGTGACTCATGGACTTTCCTGTCTGGGCTTGGCTTTGAACTGTGATCCTCAGATCTCAGCTTCCTGAGTAGCTAGGATGACAGGCATGAGCCACTGCACTCAGCTCAACACTCAACATTTAAATATCAACACTTCTTCTGCAGCAACACGGGGGTGAGGGTGGGGGGTAGCACTTACTTTTACTGTCGTTTTCTTTTCTGTCTGTTGGCTTACTTTTTCAAGGATTTCTATTAAGCCCTGTTCTGAAACCTAGGGTAACCAGAAAGAAAAAAGTACCCGTTAAAGCCAAGAATAAATCTTAGCAGGATTACTTACTTAGTGATCTTTCTAGGGCATGGAGAGGGATGGTGGAGGGGGAGGAAGGGGTGCAGAAAGCAGACCATTAACTCAGCAACCGATTCAAGTGGCAAAGAACTGGCTTTTGCTGTTTTACCTCAGCTGGGATGGCAGTGGGAGATGAGGCCATCTCAGAGGAGGACTACTGACCAACGCGTTTCCTCAGAGCACATGGAAGGACTTGTGCATCACACCAGCAGACAAGCCCACGCTTCAGCCCATTCAGTGTTGCAGGGAAAGCTACACAATTTCTGCCCACAACTGAAACATCATCTTAGAGATGACTTCACTCTCAAAAATAAAAGATCCACCAGGGCTAGGTGTGGTGACACACACCTGTAAGCCAGGGACTTGGAGAGCACACCCAGGAGGATCTGGTCCAAGACAAAGCATGAGACCCACACTGAAGCAAGATGGCTGCCTGGAGGGTGTGGCTCAAAATGGTAGAGGGCATTCAAACTGTCCAAAAAGAAATCACAGGAGGGCTGGGAAGGTGGCTCAGTGGTAGAGTGCTTGCCTAGCATGAATGAAGCCCTGGGTTCAATTCCTCAGTACCATATACACAGAAAAAGCTGGAAGCAGAGCTGTGGCTCAAGCGGTAGAGTTCTTGCCTTGAGCAAAAGAAGCTCGGGGACAGTGCCCAGGCTCTGAGTTCAAGCCCCAGGACTGGCAAAAAAAAAAAAAAAATCAGGAAGTGGTACTATGTCTCAATTGATAGAGCGCTACTACTTTGGCAAAAGAGCTCAGGGACAATGCCTGGGTCCTGAATTCAAGGTCCATAGCTGACCAAAAAAGCTGTATGTATGTGTGTGTATATATATATAATACATATATATGTATATATATGTATACATTTACACACATACATATATATACACACATACATATATATAAAAATCAACCAGCTGTGTGTTCTGCACATAAGGTGGAAGGGTTCAGGGCAAGTGGAGGGATCCCCACACAGTCAGTGGGTGAGGGCTGTGTGCACAGGGCTGAACGTGGCATCACTGGCCAGCCAGATTTGCTTCTGGGCAGAAACCGATGCCAACTGGCCCAAGCTGTGGGTGGGCCACACAAGGTCCAGGAAAGAAAGTGATCTCTAGGAAAGTTAGAGTCACTCAGGACCTCCAGAAGTAGCTGTCCAGCTTACCTTCCCACTCAGCTGTCCGTAACGCGCCATCTGGATGAGGTAATTCTCTACTGCTTTTGTTTTTTCTGGCTTCACAAGTGCCAAATTACTTACTGAAAAGAGGTTAAAAAATTTATATACATATAGGGAGGAGGTATCAACGCTAATCCCATTTACATTTAAAAAAAGGGACAGGGGCTGGGAAGGTGGCTCAGTGGTAGAGCGCTTGCCTTGCATGCTTGAAGACCTGGGTTCGATTCCTCAGCACCACATAAGCAGAAAAAAAAAAAGCCAGAAGTGGCGCTGTGGCTCAAGTGGTAGAGTGCTAGCCTTGAGCTGAAGAGCTGAGGGACAGCACCTAGGCCCAGAGTTCAGGCCCCACGACTGGACCCCCCCAAAAAAATTAAAAAATAAAACTACATTTTATATTTTACTTATAAAACTCCTTTCCTGGCTGGGCGCTGGTGGCTCACACCTGTAATCCTAGCTACTCAGGAGGCTGAGATCTGAGGATCGCAGTTGGAAGCCAGCCTGATCATGAAAGTCTGTGACTCTTATTTCCAATGAACCACCAGAAAACTGGAAGTGGAACTGTGACAAAGTGGTAGAGCGCTCGCCTTGAGCAAAAGAAGCTCTGGGACAGCGCCCAGGCCCTGAGTTCATGTCCCAAAACTGACAAAAAAATAAAAATAAGAACAGCTGGGTGCTGGTGGCTCACGCCTCTACCCCTAGCTATTCAAGAGGCTGAGATCTAAAGATCACAGTTTAAAGCTAGCCCAGACAAAAAAGTTCCTGTGAGACTCTTATCTCCAATGAACGAACCACCAGAAAACTGGAAGTGGAGCTGTGGCTCAAGTGGTAGAGCGCTAGCCTTGAGCACAAAGAGGCTCAGGGACAGTACCTAGGCCCTGAGTTCAAGCCCCACAACTGACAAAAAAACCAAAAAACAAAAAAACTAAGCTCTGATATTCCCTAAACACTTCACAATTCAGCAGTCAGGTCCATGGCACTGTATCTGTTAAAAATGGAAAAACAAAAAAACAAAACCCAGGTCTGGGAATGTAGCTTAGTGGTAGAATGCTT